ATTGACCCGTCAACGTGTCAAAATGGGCCCGTCAACGTGTCAGAAAGGGCCCCATCCATGCCAGGTCCGTCAACATGCAAAAATGTGCCCGTCGACATGCCAAAACGCAGCTTAAACATAGTATCTCGAAAGCTCTGTTGGCAACCCGGCGCGGCGCATTAGCATGTTGACGGGCTCCCTCCCCCCCCAGGTTTTCCAGCGCTTGTTGCCTCAGGCGCAGTACTTTTTCTCCAGGATCTGGGCACGGCTTTTTTTTTGATTGTTGGGTTGTAGCCTTGCGCGAGTTTTTGGAGGTTTGAGGCTTCTGATTCCTGGGAACCGACAGAGTCAACACTCTAGCCCTAAACCACACGCAGCCCAGGTGACCGTGTGTCGCAGAGTGCTGCCGGTGAGGCAGGTGGATCCCAGCACCTTGCGGATGCCTCAGCACATCCTCTGGGGACAGGTGGGTCCTATTGGAGTATTTAAAAGGCTCAATTAGGCCTATTAACATCAATTGCAAGAAACTCCGAATCCCTCCAGATCCCGAGCCTTAGGCCCTTAGGCGTATGTTATTGCTCAGAAACAGCTCCGAAACCTACAAAACCAAAACCTCAGGCCCGTGCAAATCCCACCCATTCAGGGGTTCATTGATTGTCCAATTTGTATTCTGTGCTCTTGTGCGGAGTATTCCTAGTTTGGCACACTGGCCAGCACTCCTGGAACCCACGCCCCCGGCATCACTATCACTATCGTCGTCAGGGTTATCCTCGTCATCATCACCATCACCACCATCATCACATTTTTAGTTACTTTGCTTTTGCCATGATATTACTCGTTTTTGTTCACGTCTGATGATCAAGGCGATGACGGCTTGTGACTACTATTGAAAACTTCTTTACATCTGAGGCCATAGCCGTGGTTGTCGGTACCCGGAGAATTCGCTAGACTGGGTGCCTACATTGCTCAAACATTGATCTTGAATAAATCAATCTCACGTTCAGAACCACCCTCACGCCCAGCCCAGGACTTTGAAACCCTACAAAGCCTGGATCTATAAACCCTCAACTCTGAGCCCGGATCCTTTGGCCTTGCGTCTTGGAACTATCAAAGCTCAGCAGCAAGTCGCTGTTGTTCCCAACCCGTGTGATTTCTCCCTGTTAACTCTACCATTCCGGATCCCACTTGCGCAAAATTACATGCCTTACTCCTCACTTCCAAAAAACTTGAAGCCCTGATCATGCCTGCAAAGCCCTTAAACAAGTCTAGCCCGATTGTTCTTCTACGAGTAAGTCTCAACCCTCTGAGGCGAGATATTGAGCCTTCCTTGGAGGGGTACAGGCCAGGGCCCTGACTTCCGAAAACCACCCAGTAGGGTTTCTCAGATATCCTACCAGGCTCTAAGGATGACTTTTTGGGAGGAAGAGCTTTGCAAGCTGAGACCTTTGAGAGACGCGGACTTTAGCCTCCAGACGCCGCTGACGACACAGCCTAGACCCCCCCCCAAAAAAAAAGAAAGAAAAAGGCAGCTGAAATCATGAAGTTGGGAGCAGCGGTTTCGAAGGGAACTTGGTAGCGAGAGTATGCAGGGGTGGGCTGAGCCCTCACCTGGGAGCCCGAAAGGACAGCAGTTCCCCTGCAAGCTGACATGAGATTTAAAGAAAAAGTCCGCAACCTGCAACCTAAAGTCGACATCCGCCCGACACCCAGAGTCAGCGGCCCATTCCTCCGTAAAAATCTCCCATGCGAGAGGGGTAGAAACTTCAAACACTTTTTGGACCCTGAAGCCAAGCCCGAAATCATGTTCAAATCTTGAACACACAACACCTTGGACCCTAAGCTTCTAAACTCTGAAGCAATGAAACTCAAGGCCCCTCCGAAACCCCTGAGCCCCAAAGCTGTTGTCCTTGAAATTAGACAATACCCCAAACCCCAGTATTTACCGGGCTGCCTGCAGGCGTATCATGGATTTCTACTTCTTCACCGATGCTGCTTTGTATTTCTTTGGCGTGGAGCGTGCATGTTTCACTTGCTGAGAGCCGGGTGGCGAAATGGTGTGCAGCACCATCGTGCCCCACACCCCAAACCTGAAACCCTAAGCCGTTATAGGGGCACTTGACTTTCCAGGTAGGGTAGTACAGGCCCTTCGAATGTCAGTTGGAATCCCATACCAGTACGTGGGTTTAAGACTATGCCGCATGAGAGCATACAGGGCACTCCTCGCCAAGAGCTTGGTGAAGCGCCCCAGAATGTTTGCGATCTGCCAAAGTAAGGCTGAAACGAGAACTGAGGACTAGCATTCCGAAGCAATGTCGGTGTCTGTAAACGTTTCGTTGCTGAGTGGCCGCATGATGCCAATTGCAGCAACGGCTGACACTCCCGTCGCCGAGATAAAGAAGCGGGCCCAGCGGGACATGGAAATCCCTCTAAACGACTTGGTAGACTCGGCCGGCCGGCCCCTGAAGAAATTCTGCAAGCTACAGGAGGTGGGGGTGAAAGATGGAGACACAGTGCACGCAACCGTGCGCCGTGGCACACTGTGCAGCAAACCCGGAAGGTCTAAAGCCTTTGCCCTGCTAAATGCTGACGGAACCGTGACGACTTGGGGAGATACAGCATCCGGTGGCGACAGCAGCAGCGTGCGAGATCAGCTCAAAGACGTCACAAGTATCGTTGCGTCGGAATCAGCTTTTGCCGCTCTTCGAGAGGATGGAAGTGTGGTTACATGGGGCTCAGCAGACCACGGCGCTGACAGCAGTTCTGTTCAAGAACAGCTAATCAAGGTGGAGAAGCTGGCTTCCTCAGACTACGCTTTTGCTGCAGTCCGCGCAGATGGAGCAGTGGTGACTTGGGGTCAGCCCCGTTGTGGTGGCGACAGCACCGTAGTACAGCCGTCACTCCAGGATGTTCAGCATATCGTCGGCACGCAGTGCGCGTTCGCAGCATTGCGAGCTGACAGCACAGTTGTGACGTGGGGTATTGATTTTCATGGCGGGGACAGCAGCACAGCAAAGGAATCTCTGCACAGTGTTGTGGAGATCGTGGCTTCGAACTACGCCTTCGCTGCACTCCGGTCAGATGGAACAGTTGTGACTTGGGGAGATGAGATTTCCGGAGGGCTTAGCAGTCGCGTGCAAGATCAGCTCACAACGGTCAAAAGTATTGGCTGTGGACACTTCGGTTTTGCGGCTGTGCGATCTGATGGAACCGTGGTGCAGTGGGGCACCTCAATGAGCCCGAGCGAGGTCCCACGAGTCAAAATGCCTCCCAAGACGGAACTCCAGGATGTTCTGCAGGTCTCTGGCTCGCAAGGGGCCTGGGCGGCCCTTCGACGAGACGGCCGTGTGAGAACCTGGGGCAACGTGGAAGAAGGCGGGGACAGCCGCTTTGTGCAGGAGGAGCTCCGAGATGTGCAGCAGGTGGTATGCAACTCCCATGCTTTTGCCGCCCTCCGCAGTGACGGCCGAGTGGTGACCTGGGGGGGGCCCGCTGCGGGGGGTGACAGCAGCAGGGTGCAATCAGAGCTCCAGGATGTGCGACAGCTCATGGCCAATGACACGGGCTTCGCTGCCTTGTGTGCAGACGGCAGTGTTGTGACCTGGGGCACGATGATGGAGGTGTTGTAACCCGGGGCACCCTTCTGACCTGGGGCACCGTTCAGATTGATCAAACTGCACGTTGCCACCACTGCGCCAAACCGCTTGTGGGTTTGATCTGAATCAGGACGCCTGTTTATGGGCCACCGCGCGGGAGCAGCTTCGAGCAGGCACCAAGATAAACCCTCAGCCCGCAGCCAGCCCCACCAATGAGGACACTACTTAGGAACGTCCGCCCTGCAACTGTTCAGCAGGCGGATCCGAGCAGTGACAGGAGCAGCGAGATCACAGCAAACAAGGGTGCATCTGGTTTACTCTAGGGGGTCGGTTTTGAGGTGATCCAATGGCTTCGTGTCTGGCGTTGAAACATGTTTTTCATTGCAAGTGCTTGGCTTCGCGATTTGAGGTTGCAGAGTAGAACACCCTAGACCGTAGCCGTGGTGCCGAACAACAACGCAGCACGCAGCACCCTGGTTTAGGGCGCAGGGTTCACGGTGCAGTAGAGCGCATCGAGACATATGCACATACCACATGGCAGTAGCAGCATAGCCCCAGGCAGTGTCATGCATATTGGCACCAAGCAGCAGAATCAAACATTGTCTGACGCACTCTGACCACAAACAAGATGTGCCGCAAGAAAGTTGAAAGCCCCGGGGGTCAACAATTCACCAACTCAGTCAGTATATGTCTTAGTAGGGAAGGTGGTATAGTTAGCTGTGGAGATAGCCTGGCAGAGTCATACAAGCATGATGTTTTGTAAAATGTCTTTATAATATGTGCAGTATCAGAAGATGTGTGCTTTGTGCAGCGGTGGGTAGTGCGATACAAGGATCACAGCACCGCAAAGCGAAGGTAGCAGGATGTAATGCAGCTTGTCATAGCATAGTATAGCAGTGCATGATGCAATCTAGCCTTAAACGCGTATCTGGATTCGAAGTTCGATCTGGCCCCACTGAAGCTTAAACCTGCAGCCCGAAACTCCGAAACCCGAAACTCTCCGGTTAACCTGCTAGATCCTTCAAGTCAATCCAAACCCCCAGCCTCAAAAGCCTCAAGCCTGAAACCGAGATTTCTCAACTCTAAGCCAGTAGCAACCCGCAGTCGCTCAGGGCTCTAGATTCAGGCTTTGGGGGGCAATGTCTAGGTTGGTCTTGCTCCCGGTGTCAGGGTGTATGCCTTAGGGATTAGGTAAATCAGGGCTTCTGGGATGAGGGGTGTTGGATGTTGGCAACCCAGGATGTAGGATCTGGGCCAGCCAGGACTACCCGTCGGGTCCAAATTGGTTCGTACGGCTGATGCTTGGTCTGCAGCGCATCCGCTCTTGTGGTTCCACTCTCCGCTTTGGGAACTTTGGTCTTTGACACTTCGGCTTCCCATGTTCGGGATTGAGGCGCTAGTTGTCGTGTTTCGTCAGATTTTCCGCAGTGTGCTGACCTTCCCTGCGTCTCCTGCTTGGGCCAAGTTTGGAACATTCAGAGCTTCGGCGCGGTAGAATCCCAACCTAAAACTCCTGACCTTCACTAGAGTTCCGGACAACTGCCAAGGAAGCGGAACATTGCCATTTTGCCCGGGTGCTTGGCTTCGCAGGGCTTGAGACGGTACTATTCTTCTGATTCGTTTGAGGATCATTAAGACATTACGCCTTATGACTATTTTTGTCAGCATCTTTCCCTTTGTGGATGCCATCGTCATATGCAGCGTTTCTATTTGAGTGGCTCCTACGTTGAGGAGTTGGGTCGCAGGCTTTGGGGATGTCCTGTCTGGGTGTCAGATTTGGACCTCGGGCAGAATTCGTTCCACGCCCTCTTTAGACCTCTTTCTAGAGCCTCAAAAGAACCCTGTTACTCATAACATCTCTTCTTTCTGTTGCGAAATCCCCAAACCCGAAGAGCCTTCGAGGAAGCCCCAAATTCGCCTGAGGCGCGTGTCCGACAGAGCCGGCCGAGTGGTGTGGGCGGCTCAGGGGCATACGGACATCCTTAGCATCTGTATATCAATATATATATATACACACACACGCACATACAAACGCACGTTTTCGTGTAGTCTTAAGTTGGGTCTTCAGGGGTTTCACGTTTTTGTAGTTTTAAGATAGGTTCTCAGGGCTTGAGAGTGTTTTCGGGGTGTTTTCAGTGTTCTTGTAGCATTCGAGGGCTTCGAGTTTTGGAGTTTTTTGGGGCTCAGGGCTAAGGGTGTTCGGTCTCGGGCTTCGGTTTCGCCTTTTTGGGGTTCCGGGTTCAAGGGTAACCTCAGTAGTAGGCGGTGCATCTTCAAATTATGACAGTCTGCCTTAATTCCCAAAGTGAAGCATCTCCACCAGGTCCTCGTGTTTTTTCTTGGGCCGCTTTCTCCATACCCTCAACTTGCCCTAAACCCTAAACTCCAAATCCTAAGACGGAAAATTCCGGCCAGGGGACCTTTCACAGCTAATGTTAAACCAGGGGCAAGGGGGATCACTTCAGACGTTATGACACCTACTTCAAGGTTTTGCCCATCCACAGTGGCACTAGCACGTGTAGTATGACCAGTATGACTCGTGTTACTTGTATTGCTAGTCTTACACATGTTACTAGTATGACTCGCATTTCTAGTCTTACTAATTAGTATGTCCAGTCTACTAGTATGAGTACGTTTACTAGTACTACTCGCATCTCTTGTATTTCGAGGATTTCCAGTATTACTAGTAGTATGAGCATGACTAGTGGAATCAGCACTACTACTATTATAATGCTAGCATCTAGCATTGCTCCTGTTTGTCGCATTACTAGTATTAGTACTGCTACTGCTACTGCTACTGCTATCGCCACAGATGCTACTACTACTACGACGACGACGACGGATTCGTGATAGGCTCGCCGGAAAGCTGCGGAGGTACAACAGCTTCGCCGTCAGCGGCGAGCATCGAGCTCCGGGGGCCCCCTTGGTCCCTGGACCCAGAGCTGCACAGTGCAGGGTTTTGGGTTTAGGGATGTCTATGGAGGGTTTAGGGTCTAGGATTTGGGGAAGTGTGGGCTTCAAACCTTTAGGGCTTCAGGTTGGGCCACGGTGGTGGGTGTTCTATAGCTATCGCTCAACTGTGGGAGCTTCTGTGTGTAGGAAAGGCACTTTGGTCTCTGGGGATTGGGGTTTAGGGGATTAGGGTTTAGGGTTTCGGGTTTAGGTTTTCGGAGTGAGGGTCTTCGGGGTTTTGTGAGCTACCGAGGCTCCAGATGCTGGTCCGCTACTGTCCGTGGAGGCGAAGGACCTGGCAAACTAGGGGCTTTGGAGGTTGCGGGGTGTCAGGAGCAGAATTTGAAAGGGTTCAGGGTTTAAGAAAAAGCTGTGCGGGCTTGGGAATTAGGAGGTGACGTGCAGCTGCATTGTCCGTCGCCTCCAACCCCGAAGCTCGTCTTGACTGCGGCTTAGCCCCGCCCCATACTACCTTTTTTCTCACGTGCCCTAGGCGGCAAGATATATGATCATCCACAGCACCTCCGACGTTATGTATATGCAGCATGTTGAGCCCGATTTGTCTTACTCTTGTTGCCACTCTTTCCGTCATCGCTAACTTTAATGTTGACCACTCTTGTATAGCAAGGGTGTTGTGAAGTATTCACACCAGTATTCCCTTGTAGTGACGAAAGAGCTGCAACGCACAAGACCCTCAAACATTGCTCTGATTCTAATCGTTAAGGGACTAGTGTTACCATCATTATCACAGCCATGGTAAGTTTCCCCTTGTTCTTATTTTGCTGCTCCTCATATTGCCCCCTTTAACGTCTTTAACCCTTGTATGTTCTCCGACAGTGCCCTCGTAATAACCCTTTCGTATCCTTACCCTATCCTCCGTAAGATTTGGATTTCGCGGTTTAAAGGTTTTGGGTGTGGGATTTACATGCTGAGGGTGTTCCAAGCCGGGACGGCTTGGGGTTTAGGTCGATGATTTTAGGTGATGATTTGGAGTGCCTGGGCAGGGTTTGGGTGTGCCGCAAGTTGAGTAGACCCATGTTCAAGGACGAGCACGGCCGGATGTTCAATCGCAGGGATCTCAGAGCGGTTTGCCACAAGCCCAAAACCCCAACCCTCCAACAGCCCCTCAATCCAAAACCCGGATCCCCTAAAACCGTTAAACGCTAAATCGTGCTTTTTTTGCCCACTCTCTGCTACGCTTCTAAGTAGTAATCCTTATTGTACCCCGAAAAAACCGAAGAGTAACCCGGATATTGCACGAGTCGTACCCATAGAGAACCGGTGCCATGATAATTACCTTATGGTAGTAGCCCTTATAATACCTCACCTTGTAGTACCCTTACTCTTTTATAGTGATCCTTATAGGCTATAGGCCTTAACAGTAGCCTGAAACCGAGGACAGCACGACGCGGAGTTCAAGCTCCTCAGCGGCTTCTGCCAAGTGGCTGCCGGCTTCGCCGATGGCACCTCGGAAGGCGACCGGGGGGGATTCTTCTGAACGAGACCTTTGTTCTGGAAGCCCAAAGGCCCGCTAAACCCTAAACTCTACATTGACGGCTTTTATTTACGTCAATACTATGCTCTTTTGAAACGAGATACCTCCGTGCGGTAATTTATTTGTCAGAACTTCCTCTCAGAGGGGAACGAGATAGGGGCACCGCATAAAACGAGATCAGGTACACGTATGGCTGCAAGAGTCAACGGGGTGCTACTAACGATATTTGAACGAGATCAAGAATTTCTGCCAGTACTTGACATGATGAAACGAGATAGGGGCACCGCTTCGAGATACCGCAATTAGCCTAAGCCGTAAATAAACGCAGCGGCTCGAAATGAGCCCCAAAGCCCCTTCCTCCCTAAAGCTGGAAACGGCTAGACGGCTAGACCTCCAGAACCTGAGCCGCAACGGTAAGCGGACTGCTCGGGAACGCCCGAAGGATTCAGTCTTCATGGCAATGAGGTGTACTGGCAGCGAGGTAGATATCTTTACATTGGTAAGGTACGGCTAACCCTACCATATTCACATTCAACATTCGACCGATTAACTTTTCCTGGCAGCAGCAGTGGCAGTAGCCCTAGCACTCAATGTGTGACGGGAAGCCCTTCATCGAAGCACTGTAGATCAAAGGGTGCAGCGTTTTGCACGTCGTTCAGGGAGGCAGCGCCAAGAACTTAGCCACCTTTGCCAGATTTTTGGGCCAATCTGGGAAAAGCAGAAGTTAGGAGGAGAACGGGAGGGAACCAGTCATGGGGAAGTCGCCAGACAGCGTGGTGGCAGAAAATGCAGAAACTTGGGTTCGCGAGTCCGTGAGTGACTGTGCCGAGAGACTGCGGCGCTGTGAGCGGGAATTCGATGCAGATCACGCCTTTGTACGTGCAGCACACGAAAAACTTACTGCGGGGAAGCTGCAGATGCAGTGGTTGTGAGACTTGATGAGGAGAAACCTTTGGCTTGCATTGAGAACTTTGCGCTTTACACCCCTCCTCGTTCACGTGGCGTCTCACAGAAGACAAAGAGGTCGAGAAGCTAGACTCATGCACACTCGAAAACCGAGAGCTCACGATCGTGCAATGTCGTCCGCCCGCACCAGGACAAAGCAATGGGCAGTCTTGTGCTTGAGGAGGTAACGAAGGTGCCCCAAAAGCTGAGATCCTCGTTCCCCGGGTGAAGCTGAGCGTGGTGGAGACGAACGAGCACGCTCCCGGCATGTGCCTGCCGGTTGGCCCCATGCCATGACCATCATTCAAAGACCAAGTGGTTCTGAATGGATCAATGCACTTCTGTGACAAAAGTATGTCATAGTCTCACCTGATCACGTCGAGATCCGAAAGAATTGAGCCGTGAATGATATTGTTGTGGTACGATTTGTGTATGCTTTCAGGGGCAGTAGCACAAGAATCATCCTAAACGTATCGCAGATGTCATGAGCAACGGGCCCAATGCTCCGCTGATGCAGCTGTGAACAAGCCAGGAAAAGTCAGTGCCTGGGAAGGCACCGGGACGTTGTGGTCCAGGCCAGAAATTACACAATTCCCGTTTGTTTAATCGAAACACACTGAAATCATGTTCCGAAGCCATTGCTTCGCCGAGAATATTCCTTCATTAACGGGTGGTGGTGTTTCGATTGTGATGTGATGGTTTGTTGTCGTTGAGCGATGTACCCTGTGTTCTGCGACTTGCTGACGTAGCTGTCATGCCTATGCCCACACAGCCAAATACCGTTAATTACATTACTAAGGTGGACTGTGCCAAGGCCATTAAGCATCATTTTTGCCAACATTTCCGAATGTAGGTGCAGTGGGCTTTCTGGGTGTACGTGAGGTTCTGGATTCACGGTAGTTGTAAGGATGGAGTGGAGGTGACGGAGCTGAGTGCAAGACTGCTTTCCAGCACAAAGGCTTCCAATGGGCATTCAGGTCTTACTGGTAGTTGGAGACTTTGCAAGGCTTCCGACTTGCCTCAAACTTCAGGAACAAGGCAGATGCACACGGCACCCTCACCTGCAGTGCTTGGTCGCATCATCAATATTATGATAATTACAAACCAAACTCCTAAACCCCAAGCGCGTAAACCTCTAAACCTCGGCAAATGCCTCAGCCTGCAACCGCCTGAAGGTTCAAACTGCTTTTGGCCTGTGGAAGACTTAAAATTTCTGCCCAGAGTTTGCCAGATCGCTCAACTGAAGAACTCGTCTTCCGATGTTACGAACCTCAGGGCCAACTAAACATGTTGAAGGCTCTAGGCTAAGCCTCCTGGGATTTGGGTTTAGCGGGCATTGTATGAAAGGTCTTGGATCACACATTGGAGAACCTGGGTTCTCCAATGTTGTTCCAGTCCACGAATTCTGTAAACCTGTAGTCTATGAGTTCTTATGCATTTTGGAAGAATTACGGTCAGGAAGCCGCTGTGCACCAGCTGCTGGGGGGCCGTGTCGCAGGCTTGTCTATCAGAGCTTAGCATCTTCCGACTAGGCTCATCATCGCCAAACCGACCTGCCAGCGTCACAGTCCCCCTTCTTTCCCCGCATTGTGAGGTCCGTTGTCAGCACTTGTTCCAGCCTCCTCCTCATCCTCCTCCTCCTCCTCCTGCTCATCCTCCTCCTCGTCTCTCTCCTCCTCGGCCTCCTCCTCTTCGTGATGCGCGTCGTCGTAATCATCATGCACCACCGCCAGCAGCAGCACCACCACCACCAGCACCACCACCACCACCGCCACCACCACCACCGCCGCCGCCGCCACCACCGCCGCCGCCGCCGCCGGCGCCACCACCACCACCACCACCACCGCTGTATAGCAGCCTGAGCCTTAACCCTAAACGCCATCCGGAACCCTAAACCCTACACCCCCTAGATTTTCCATGCACTTTAGGCCCAAGTACAACACCTATCCACTGCAGGTGAAAGCGATGTTTCCCAAGCTGGTGCTGACTGTGTCTGCCATGCTGGCATGGCTTTGAGTTTTGAGGTTTGCAGTTCTAGCAGTTTGGGGTCTAGGGTGGAGCATGTCCAGAATCACCCGAAACACATGTTTGGAGGTTTAGGGTCCTCAAGACTTGGTGTGCCTCGCTTCCAAATCCTACAACTTGAATCCCAAGTCAAACCTTGGATTCCGGAGATCCTAAACTGTAGAAGCCCAAAGCCTTCGGTGCGGAGGCAGCCCTGAGGTTCGGGCACCCAAGTTGCTACTCTAGGCCCACCAACCTAGCCTAAAACCCCAAGTCTAGACCCCCTCAACCCAAAACCTCCTAAACCCCTAAATCCGCTAAACCGTCTAAACCCCAAATCCACAAAGTCGACAACCTTTAAATCCTGACATTCCACCAGAAACATAAGATTTTAGCACAGTCCTTTCTTTCAGAACGAAGGATTTCAGGATTAGCAGTGTGTTCTTCAAGGATAAGGACAAACCCCAAAACCCCACAGGCCCCAAAGTCGTACAGAGAAGCCTCAACAACCTGCGCTATGTTCCCCTTGCGCTACTACTAGAGATCTCAAGGGCCCTAAAGGACCGACTTCTAAAGGCCCGAAGCCTCAAAGGGATCGAAACCCCTGAAGCCCCAAATTGCCAGAGCCGTCCGAAGAAAGACGAAGGTCGGCTCCAAAAACTCGAAGCCTTGGCCCGACAACATGTGGGGGGCCCTTTCCTTCTCTGTCGGGTTTGGGGTTTAGCTCTCTTTTTGTTTCAGTATTTATTATTGACTGGGTCTCTTGTTGGGGGGGCTTTGTGTGGTGTTCAAGCTTTGTGTTAATAGGGGTCTTTCTATGGCCTTTTTTTGGGGGGGGGGGGTTTAGAAAGTGTTGATGTTTTAATACATACTCGTTGTGGCTTTGGGTGGCATGCTTTGGTGGTCTTGTCCTGAGGGGTTTGTATTTCCGGGTCTTGTCTTTTTGGGTTTCGTCGGGTTCTTGCGACGTTTGTGAGGTTTCTACATTTCGCTTCCTGCGGGCTTGTGGTGCAGGGGCTTTACTTCACAGGGCTTTTGGGGTTTTATGTCCACAAGGCTTCACAGGTTGTCTGACTCTGAAACGGGTGTCCGAGAACCTCTCAGGGTGCCTGGACGCTTCCTAGCTTTGGGTTCGAGAGCTTTGGGAGCTCAGCGCTTGGGCATCTACTGGGCGCATTCGTCCGGGGTGAGCTAGTAGGATGCCTGACCAGTGGTCTGGGATGTTGGGGTTTCGGGTTTAGGGTTCATTGTATAGGTTCCTCATCTGAGAGCCTGTGCCCTTCAGGCGCTATCCTCCGGATGCAGATGGCCCGGCGGAGGCCTTTGCGATCATCCTTCGAGGGTTGAAGGTTTCCCGAAGCCCTTATAAGACCCTGAAAAGCTTAGGGCTCGAACGCCCCCAACCCCCAAAAACCACCAACACCCGAAAATAGTCCCAAACACCCCATTGACGTCTGTGCCCTCCTTCGCTCGATCAGGCCTAGGCGTGGATGCATGGACAGAGCTATTCGCCATACCTCCTAAATCTCACAACCTCGAAGCTTGAAAGCTTGACAGACCTTTCAGTTCTCAGCATCACGGCTGTCCAGTTGCTGCATCTGGAGCTTAGCCCTCGCTGCTCAAGCTTTCACAACGCCTGTGGCACTCGCCCGACCTACTGTCAAGACATGGCTCCGGCAATGAAGTCTGCGATGAAGTCCAAGGCTATGAAGACCAACGCCAAAGCCATGACCAAGTCCCAGCTTGCCGACCAGCTCGCCACCAAGTCTGAGCTCAAGAAGAAGGAGGTCCTGTCGGTCCTGCAGAATCTTTCGGAAATCGGTGCCAGCGAGGTCACCAACACCGGCAAGTGTCCTGCCGGCAGTTTACGCATTCGTTTTGGACTCACTTCCAAGCAGATTTTTTCATCTGATCTGCTGGACGTCCGAGGTTTGTTCTGCCAGGGCTGTGCATGATCAAGACTCGTGCCTGGGCTGATCCCATGTCTTTGACTGCAGGTGGTTGAGTAGGGGAATGCATGCCGGCCGCAGCTGCAAGGTCAGAAGCCTGCCACGAAGGGTGGCACTCGCATGATGTTTGGCAAGGCCAGCAAGAGAAAGCTGACGAAACTGTTTGAAGACATTGTGAGCTGTGATGTCTTTGCCGCAGGAGGTTCAGGTCAAGGCGCAGAAGGTGGGGACCCCTGGCAGCCAGTGACTGCTGTATCTTGTGACCGAAGTTGCTCGTCAGGCGAAGACGGTTGTGAAAGCCACGCCGGCGGCTGCACTCAAGAGCCAGTTCTAGGGGGTGGCTCTGAGCTGCCGACTGCGGAACTGCAGCTGGCTGCGTGCTCGTCGATGGGGTTCGACGGTGAGCACGCTCGCCTGCTGTGGAGCGAGAGATCTGTGCGCAATCAGACGCACAACGTGTTCCGATAGGCGCCGCATGAAAAGCTGTGCCGGTGCAAGTCATGTCCAATGCCTTTGCAGGTGTGTGTGTGTGTGT